ATCTCATCTTATTAAAAAGCTTCTGCACTGCAAAAGAAACCATCAACGGAACTAAGAGACAACCTACAATGTGGGAAAACATTTTTAACAGTTGTTCCTCAGACAAAGTACTATTATCTAGAATATATAAAGAACTCAAAAGAATCAGCCCCCCCAAATATAAAGACCTAATTCAAAAATGGGCATCTGAAATGAACAGACATTTCACAGACAAAGAAGTAAAGGCAGCAAGTAAATATATGAAAAAATGTTCCACATCACTGGTCATTCGAGAGATGCAGATGAAAACAACACTGAGATTCCACCTCATCCCACAAAGAATGGCTGCAATCAAAAAATTAAACAATAACAAATGTTGGAGGGTTGTGGGGAGAAAGGAACCCTTCTCCATTGTGGTGGGAGTGCATACTGGTACAAGCACTATGGAAATCAATATGGAGATACCTCAAAGAGCTGGGACTAAAGGTTCCATTTGGCTCAGCCATCCCGCTGCTGGATATCTTTCCAAAAGAACTAAAAGAATCATATCACAGTGATGTACACGCACCCATGTTTGTAGTGGCACAGTTTGTAATAGCTAAAACTTGGAAACAGCCCATTTGCCCATCAGTTGGAGATTGGATGAAGAAGATGCAGTTTTTCTATAAAATGGAATATTACTCAGCCATAAAGAATGAGAAATTAGATTCATTCATAGGAAAATGGATATATATTGAGGATACACTCCTAAGTGAAATAAATAAGTCACACATGTGTAAATACCAAATAGTTTCTCTGGTGTGAATAATCTGCAATAATACATAAGATCCTAATGAGATAACTGACATTGTGAAATGGGAAGCACAGGGCTAAAGGTGTAGAAAAAGTGGGAAGGGTAGGGGCAGGGTAATAAGGGAAAAGAAAAAAAATGTGAGAAAATGAAAAGATGGAAATAAAGTGTTTGTAAATGGGCAGGGGAGGAGTGGGTGAAGGGAGAGCAGGGACAAGGGGAAAAAATGAGAACCAAGACCTGTCATGTAAAGGTACAAGATCCCAATAATGAATGTAACTGTACTGTATTCCTAAAATGTACCAATAAATTCCATTATTTAATAAAAAAAATTAGGCTGTGTGAATATAAACTCACTAGTGGGTCAAAACTAACCCTCGAGCAGCCCATTTGTGACTTTCATTCTAAACAATCTCTAAGATTTCTTCTAACTCTTAGGGACAGCGTTACTGTGATGGCACCATATCTACCTTGTCTTGCCTGAGAGACTTGGTGGGCAATTTTCACAGACCCAACCACAGAAACAGAAATATCTTTTACCATCTGATTTCCTTTCAAGATTAGTTTCTGTCAAGCCTGGCAGAGGGACTTTGAGATTTTGAAAATACAAACCAAGGGCCACTCACATAACTGCTGACAGTTCAGAGAAAACTCAAGTTAAGTTGCCTTGTGTTGAGCTGGTATATCCAACTTATTTAGATATATGGTGATCAACTGAAGCCCCAGGATGGCCCCCAAAGTGTCCAGAAGAAAGAAGTTCATAAAAGGACACAAGTTGGTTACACATGTGTAGAGCACCCAGTTCCTAGGACAAGCCTCTCAGGTGACTATGTCCATCCTCTTGATTAAAGAAACAGAGCTCCAAAGAGTAAGAGTACTTGCTCATTGAGAGTTGGTTAATGCCTGAGCCAGAACATAACCCCCGGTTCTCTGACACTGAATTCTATATCACACTGTCACTCAAAATGTTTCAGTGGTCAAACAAGTTTGAGTAAAACTGAATTTAACCAACTTTTAAGAAGATGTCTTTTGTAGAACTTGCCAGGGACTTCTGATGTGCTAACAGCCTGAATCAACAAGAGAGGAGGTGTGTGGTATTTCCACAATTTATCTAACCATGCAAATCCTCCTTTAAAATTTACACATCACTGAATGTGTGTGTTGTACTGTGAAATATGCTTGGGAGATATGGTAATCCATTATTCTCTCAAAACATTGATTAGAGTTCTCTCTGAGGTATCTGAAGACCTATAATAGTTGAAAACAAACAAAAACAAGGAGAAACTCTCTGAAGCCATGTCACTAAAATTTGATCTCAGAAACCAGCTGTTGCACCATAGTGGGAGAGACAACGAGGCACACTCTCTTCCCTGTGCTCGAAGGCAGCCCATCGGTTCATTTCACTGTTTCAGCCAATGAATACATAAGCTTCTTACATTAGTCTGATATGAACTTGACATTTAATTTCATGTGAGATACAAACTGCAACCCTAATCACATGAAGGCAATCTACACATGTCTGATTTATAAAAGGCAAGAAAGAAAATATAACTACCAGGAGAAGTGGTCATTTCTGTGACCGCGCCTGAAATGATAAAACAAACAGGAACTTGTAAGAATGTTTTAAATTTAAAACTTCAATACCTCAGATATGTTTATTTATTTATTTATTGAGTTTATTGGTACATTTTAGGTATACAGTACAGGTACATTTATTATTGGGATCTTGTACCTTTACATGACAGGTCTTGGTTCTCATTTTTCCCCTTGTCCCTGCCCTCCATTCACCCCCTCTCACCCTCCCCATTTACAAACACTTTATTTCCATTTTTTCATAAATTAGATGCAAAATACTTTTCTGAAATACGAAGTTAAAAGTAAGAAAGTTTTCCTAGTTGAGAATGAAATACAGACAGAAATGTTTGAAGGTAGGAACTGAGAAATGTTCCTTGTTTATGGTAAAAATGCCACAGGACGGATCAGAAAGGTCCTTTCCCTGATGCAATCAGGACGAATTATTTTGTAGAGTGGCAAAATACTGGGAATCTCCCTAATTCTAACTTTAGGCTTTTATCATTGATTTCTGTCTTTTAAAAAAACCAAGCTAGGTTTATAATAACAAGTTACCTGAAATCTAGGGGAAAATGGTTCCTCATTATTATAAAACATCTTATGACCCCTGCTTGAACATTTTTCTTCGGTTCATGATCTATCAAGAACTACACAAGTGCATCCAACCTTCTCACTGGAATGTTTGATGGTAGACTAGTTCAGTACTAAATTCTCAGGACCCAGAATTGGGCCTGACACCCTGAAAGGGCTTGATAAAACCCTGCTTGAATTTTTCTTCGGTTCATGATCTATCAAGAACTACACAAGTGCATCCAACCTTCTCACTGGAATGTTTGATGGTAGACTAGTTCAGTACTAAATTCTCAGGACCCAGAATTGGGCCTGACACCCTGAAAGGGGGTGAGAAATGAGAGGAACTGGGTTTTGTTCATGGGATTCCGAAGAGCAGCACTATGAAATCAGCTTTAAAGTTCATAAAAGATAAGGGCAAACACTAGGAAACACCATTACCCCTACTATCGATTGACAGAGGGAATCTGGGAAGTCCCTGCAGACTGCAGCTTGAAGACCGAGGGTTAAGAAGAACTCATGGAGGTTAGGCCAAGCCCAGGGTCAATGAGCACATTAAGAAAGTCGGAGAGGTCTCCTGGAATCAAGGCCAGGGTATGCTGTGGGGCTGTTACACTACACACCCTTATACGCCCACTGCCCGAGTGAGTCTCAGAACTTTGAGAATGGACACTGGGTCTCTGTGCGGAGGACCTGAATAAGACCCAAACCTCCTCATGTTAATTTCCAGATCCCCACCATGACTCATGGCTCTGTCGGCCTCAGAAGAAAGCTGGGAGTGAGTACCTGAGCAGATGACCCCGGCGTCCTCGTGGTGGCCACAGTTGTGGACAGACAAGCCCAGATGGCAGCACTGGCCTAACGAGGTCTCATTGCCTTGGCACTGCACATCATCCAGGAGGATGCTCCCAACACCCCCCCCAAAGTGGCCGCTCCCCAGGGCCTGGACGCCTTCTCCACAGCCTAGCTGCCGGCACACCACGTGGGCAGCATTGAGGGCCCAGAGATCATTGCACACGGTACCCCACGTGCCGTTGTGGTAGACTTCAACTCGCCCTTCACACAGGCTCCTCCCATGCACCAATCTGATGTCAGGCAGATCTGCAGAATACTCAGAGGTTATTGTTGAAATGTGACAGGCAATTACGAATGGGATTTTATTTAGTTACTAATATAACATACCCTAGACTCCAGAGCCTTAAAAATGCTTGCTTCCTGCTTCTAGGTCTCAGAGAACTAAGTGAAATTAGTGCCTGTAAATACAGTGACTGGTTTTTCTGTGGCACTTCTGATCTCCAATATTTTGTTCCATCATTCCCATCTTTTGGTTGGGAATATGGTAATTACAAGGTTAAGGATAAATACCAGTGTTGGGACTAAGCCTTCAAACTGATAAGCAATGGTGCCAGGATTGCCTATCTTGAATTTTCATTATTTCCTTTAGGTCAAGTCTGTCTATTGGCCAAAGTTCAAAATTAATAGCATTTTATAAGGTACAGAAAAAGTAGACAAGCAACAGCTGGCCCTGCATGTAGCCTCTCCTTCCATTTCAGCTCTTCTTTTCTCAGTCCTGGGGAAACCCTGGATCTAGGCGGACACTGACACCACTGGCTATAATCTCAGGGAATCCTCTAGAAAGGTCTGACAGCCAACAAACTTCAAGAGAAACAACAGGAAGATTACCAATGGCAGGAGCTCTTTCTGGTGAAGCTGGGACAACAGCTGAAAGAGAAAAGCCAACATACTCACATCAGTGGAGGTGAACATCAATAAAATGTTACAAGCAAGTGAGTGTACAAGTCTTTGTCAGTGCCAATGTGGCAGGTCAGAGATTTGTGACACTGTGACACCATCACAGAGAGATCAGACAGGGTCTTTCTGATCCCTGGGAGACCCTGACTTACTGATGCTCAGTGGAAGCATCTCTCTGAATCTCACCACAAAGTGTCACTGAGGGCCACTCAGATCATCTGAGGCTGCAATATTGGATGAATAAAATCCCCAGATACCATGAAACATTAATCTTCTGATTTAAAAAAATTGACTGGCCAGGGATGTAGCTCAGTGGCTTTGTTGCCTGCCTTGCAGGTATGAGGTCCTGAGTTTGATTCCTGGTACAAACAAAAAACAAAACAAAACAAAAACTGAGTGAAGGGGTAGAATAAAAATGGCTGCTCCTTGAGTTCAATCCTTGGTACAAAAAAAAAAAAAAAAGCTGCTCCCTCACTTTATTCTTTGCCCCATTGGGGAACCTCACCTCTATCTGGTCTCCTGAGGAGGGTGGTGATGTTGGGGCTGGGCTATGGAGATCTCACAGTGGAGTAAGAAATACAGATGTTCATTACATACATTTCCTCAGTCACAAAAGGTAACTAAAACAGGGATTCAATTTTAATTTAAATACTTGAATGGTCCTGACTTAGGCAATCAGCAATCAAAAGAGTATTCAGACAGTGTAGCTTTCTTGGAGAAATTTCCTTGAAACTTCTGAGCTTGACACAAACAGAAAAATGATTCCTGAAAGTTACAACTTCTCCAGGGTGCACAACTTTCTGATTCCAGATATGTGTGTGCTTACAGGATCTCTTTTCTTCTGAGATTCAGGGGAACAGGCTGTGACACTGGGCAGACATTTCTCCCCACAGCAGGGTGACATGTCTAAGCAGTTCCCAGGATGTGGGACTTAGACTGCTAATGCTGGGTTGGTCCCAGGCAAAGCAAGACAAGGCACTTCCCTACCTGAGACCTAGTGCCATTTAGTTGACCTGCCTAGCTGGGAGGGGCCCTGGCACAGCAGAGTTCATAAAGGTACCTGAGCAGATGGCCCCGGCATAATCATGGTGCCCGCAGTTGTGAACTGACAGGCCGAGGTGGTGACACTTTCCCAAGTTGGTCTCTTCTCCTGTACACCGCACATCATCTAGGAAGATAGGGCAGGAGCCAACACCAAACAGGCCTCCCCTGGGAGCTGCCAGGGCCGCCCCGCAGCCCAGCTGCCGGCACACAACCTGGGCAGCAGGCAGGTCCCAGAGGTCGTCGCACACAGACCCCCAGATGCCGTTGTGGTGGAGCTCCACTCGACCCTCACACGGGGTCCTGCCGTCGGCCAGCCTCACCAGTGGCAGATCTGCAGGAGCGAAAAGCCACATTTGTGGGAGACGCCTTCATCAAAATGAAATGAAACCCAGCACCAAGCTGGAGAATTCCACTGTGGTGGGCAGCCTGCTGCCTGCTACCTAGAGAAGGAGATGCTCATGTTGGAACATTGTAAGCTGGAGAATTCCACTGTGGTGGGCAGCCTGCTGCCTACTACCTAGAGAAGGAGATGCTCATGTTGGAACATTGTAAGCGGAGGAACAGCTATGACTGATTTCTGCGTCTGAAATTCAGCATGGACTCTACCATGCCTTTCTGCACCGTCAGTTTCTTTATGGGAATGCAGGCCCCAAGCTGGCTTGTGGAAGACCCACTTAAAAACAACGTTCTTGCGCCCTCTTTTGGGTGTCTTTTATTATGTTATTTTTCTAAAACGCTCCAACCAAAGCAGCCCAATGTTTGGAGCTCAGACTTTGCATTTCTAAACTAGGTCTCTCAAAGCACACGATGAGATTCTCAGAACAAAATTACGTCTGCTTTACTTGAATTTAGAAAAGTGTAAATTATTTCTTGGGGAAAGACTTAGGTGGTTGGGAGTTGGAAAATCCAGAGGAAGGCAGAGCCTCTCTGCTGTAAGAAAGTAAGGTCTTGACTGAACACATTTTTGGATCTTTTAAATGCAAAGCAGATGAAGTTGTTTCTCCAGGTCTGAGCCTGCAAGATTGGGGCTGGTCCAGGGGGCCCCCTTTTCGAAGGTGCTACAAGAATACAATATAGAGCTTGGTCTTTGGATGCTGTACCAGGTGGATGGCCTTATCCTTACAGAGATTCCCACACTGGATGAACCAACTGCATGAGCCTCTGGCCGCTAATGAGCACAGCTACTTTTCAATTCAGCATCAGGGCCACAGAGGTAATTTTGCTACATTTCTCTTGTTCAAAAAGGCCAGACCCTGGCCTCAGAAAGACAATCACGAAATGTAAGAATGGAAAACGTACCTATTGGATTGAAAACATGTGGCTGCTCTCCGGGAATCGAAGAAACTCTATACGTTTTTTTAAAAAAGCTACAATAAGTACATTCTTAGCAAACACAATAAAATTTCATATTCTTTTCAAATATCATCTACATTACATACGTGTGTCTTCAAAAAATCCCACTCAGTCTCTATCACATAGTTACATTTAAGACATGATGATAGCTCATGAATGTCTGCAGGTTGTTCTAATTAAGAGGGAGATAGATCTTTTGCAAAGGGAAAGGAACTGAAAAATGATGGGAGGGGGGAAGGAGGAGAGAAGAGGAAGTAAAAGGAATTAAAATGTGCTATGTAGGGGCTGGGGATTTAGCTCAGCGGCACTGCGCCTGTCTGGCAAACACAAGGTCCTGAGTTCAATCCCTGATAACCCTCCCCCAAATGTGTTATATACATGTACCAACTCTTCATGATGAATATAATCATTATGTACTGAAGACATACACTAATAAAAATGAAACCTTAAATAAATACCTTTGATTATACTTTAAAAATAAATAAAATTCGTGTTGGGATTATGAACCTATGGCCCCAAAGGCAGAGCTGTCTGCTCATAACTACAGAGTTCAACAGCTACATTATGGGTCCCAGGTAGGGGTTCAGGTGGAGGAGCAGCTCCTGGCCCTGGCCTTCCTGCACCCAGGATCACCTGCCCCCAGGCTCAACTGCCCCCTTTGGGCTGCCAAGACCTGTTTCACAAACTGCCCTTTTGGATCAAGAGCCAGTGTCTTAGAGTTTTGCTGATACTCTGTTCTCCTAGGTAGAAGTGGATGCAGAGCAAGACCCAGTGGAAGGGGAACCAGCCCTGGGCCCTTACCTTCCAGAAAGTCTGGTGCTCAGGGCAATGTCAAGGAAAGTTAAGGCTTGGAAGGAAGCCCCAGTGTAGCACCCCTGCACTAGATACCTAGCTACTCTCCAGCAAATAAAATGGATGTGAACTCGCAGAGAAATTAATGTCCAAAAGTTGCAAACTCTGCAGAGATAAAGTAAATATAACCCTAGAATTCCTCTTACGTATTCTCATCTAGTGTTGGTTGTCTTACTTGGCTAAGAACTGTGAGGCAGTAATTGTGACAAAATTTGCCTTAGTTATTAATATAACAACAACAACCAAATAGCAGTGATTCTGTACATTTGTGATTTGTCAGGTGGATGGAGACTGGCTGGAGATTTTGGGTCAGCAGAATATTCTGTCTTCTTTTTTTTTTTCTCATTGAGTTTATTGGTACAGTTTAGGTATACAGTACAGTTACATTCATGATTGGGATCTTGTACCTTTACATGACAGGTCTTGGTTCTTGTTTTTGCCCCTTGTCCCTGATATTCTGTCTTGTTAAGTGGCAGCTCCAAGGCCAGCTCCCACAAACTGCTCTTCATGATGTTGATGTGAAGTGTCTCCCAAAGATCCATCCATTGAAGGTTTGGTTCCCGACGCAGTAATGTTTAGAGGTGAAAACATCATGAGGACTCTAACCTCACCAGTGGATTAATGTATTTGATAGGTTCATAGCTGAGTGAACCATTGGCAGGTGATGGAAACTGTAGGAGATGAGGCCTAAATGGAGAAAGTGGGTCCTGTGCGGTATGCTCTTGGGGATACCTTGTCCTCTAGCTCTTCTCTCTTGCTTACCAACTCTGCTTCGTGGCTGCCATGAAATGAGTAGCTTTTTTCTGTCACAGCGATGTTTCTGCCTCATCATAGGCCCACAGCAATGAGGCCAGTGGACTGTGGACTGAAACCCCTGAAACTGTGAGCTAAAACAAACTCTTCCTCCTTTGAGTGGTTATTCTCACGCCTTTTGTCACAGCCATGGAAAGCTGTCTAACACATCAATTCTCGCATCTCACAGCCCTATCTCCTATTACCTTTCAATCACAGGTTTTCTAAGTGAACTCAGACATTCTCAGCCCTTCTTCTAGTAGCAGCCACGTGTAGGGCAGCCTGAAGCCATGGAAGAGGGTGAAAATGGACATCCAGGAGGGATGCTTCTTCCCACAACAATGCTAGGCTAGTTCTGAGCTCAAACTCTTCAAAGTGAGGGCTATTGAAGAGAAAAGAGAGAATTACCTGTTGTTGTGAGCACCTCCACTGGCTTTAGAAAAGATGCTGTGAATGGATAGAAAGCAAAAGAAGAAAATTATACATATAGTTTTGTTAAACAGAGGTTAACCCTTAGTTACCACCTTTAACTCTTAGTCAATTATCTCTTGTAGAGTCAAGGACTCTCCACATTTTGAATCATTTACAGATAGTTTCTGAATCTAAATTGTATTCCTTTCTCAAGTCCTTTCTCTGTAGGGTGCATTCTTTTCATCCCCCAACTGGTGTGTGAACAGTAAATATAAGCCAACTCATACAAGCTCAGGAAAACCAAAGATTGGTGATTAATAGACTTTTTTATTTTCTTCAAAAAAGAAAATTTTATAGACAAGAGAGCATCCTTTAGAGATCTCGGCTATGCACATAACTTATCATGGCACATTCTCTGAAAGACAGGGGTCACTTCTTTATCCCACCTTTCATCTGCATGTTTGACTTTTCTCTTGAAGACCAGCATGGAAGAGTGGCTGACTAAATTTGAAATGTAACAACTACTGGGCCAAAAGGAGCCAGGAGCAAACTAAAAAGTGTTTTTTTCAGGGTCTTCATTTTTTTTTTCATTAAGTTTATTGGTAAACTTTAGGTGTACAATACAGTTATATTTATCATTGGGATCTTGTACCAAAGATAAACCATTCTTTCTTTTTGTTGTTGTTGTTGTTTTGTTTTGTTTTGGGGGGGTACCAGGGATTGAATTCAGGACCTTCCACTTGTGAGGGGGGCAGTGGCACCACTGAGCTAAATCTGTAGGTAGACCACCTTCTTTGAATCACCAGTGTACAATGCCTTGTTATGGGAAGAAACTGCACCCCATCTGGGGTCCAAGAATGGCCTTGAGTTACCATGGGTAGAAAGCCGTATATAGACATGAATCCCTGTAGTGCTCAGGCCTGGAGTGAGAGCAGAAAATAACGTCTAAGCAGCATGCCCTACTGTATAGTAAGCATTCCCTCAGCCACTCTGCACAGAGAAAAGCAATGAGTCCCTATCCTCCTCAGCCTCATCCAGAAGGGGAAACTGAGGTAGCCTGTTGTTAAGAGGTTTGCTAGAGGACTCACGGCTGGTAAATGACAAAGACATGGCATTTGGTCCCTAAACCAAACCCTACCGCCCAGGGTGACTTTGCCAAGGCGAGTTAAAGCTGATCAATTAAGAACAAGTAACATTAGCCAGGTGTGGTGGTGCATGCCTGTAATCCTAGCACTTGGGATGCTGAGGCAGGAGGATCACTATGAGTTCAAGACCAACCTGGCCTACATAGTAAAATTACCTGAAGTTGAATAACTCGCAGCAGCTCATGGTGTTGCATAAGACAAAGAGTCTATGAAAGACATGGTAAGTATGGGTAGGTTGTCTGCTTCATTCTTTTCAAACTCCAGAGGTAGGCCTGTTTGAAACAGAAAAGCACAATGTCTCATTTTGGGGAGAAATTGTACCTCCCTCTGGGCGTCCAAGAATGGTAATGACCAGTGATGGTCACTGGATCACTGGGCTCATTTCTGTCTTCCTGCCAGGCACTGTAACATCGTTTTCTTTTTCTTTTTTTTGGCCAATTGACTATAGTAATGGTCACCTTGTGTGGAGTATTCATCTCACCAGCTGGTTTGGTTTTGTAATCTTTTCTGTGTATGTGTGTGTGTGTGCGTGTGTAGGTCTTGCCTCCCAGAGTAGATGTCTATTTGTAAAGCACAGAACCACATTATCTCAAAGACATACACCAGTGACCTCAATGTAAGGAGGGTGTGGCAAGGCCCTGAGAGGGCTATGGAACTGGGCCAGGTGTTCCCGCTGGAGATGAAATAGAACCTGGAACTGCTGCTCAGGGGCCCTTGCAGTTGCCTCTGATCCACACCTGATAGCAACGGCCCTGCTTTCCAAACTTCCAGGTCCTTTAATCCCTAGCCCTGTCCTGTGATTCGGACTCGGTATGTGGCTTCAGCTCCTGCTTCACTCAGAATACTGATTCTGTCCTTTGACTTCCTCCTCCTCATAACTGTCCAGCACCTCCACCATCCTCTGTCCTATCCTATCTAGCTGATAAGCCATCTTGCCTCTTCCCAGAAAGATGTGGAGATAGGTGGGGACTTTTGACTCCGACTATGGCATTTACTTGCAGAAACTTAACTGGGATAAAAACCAAGAAATAAGGGCCTTGGGCAAGGACCTGGGCTCCCAGCTGTTAGGAAAGTTCTTCATGTTTCCTATAAAATGAGGGACTGAACCCAAGAGATGATTCCCAGAGGTGTGACTCATCACTGGCGGGACTGAGATAACTTGGTGGTGCATCTTTTAATCTTGTGACTTACACATATTTATTGTATTACCATTTGAAATTCACATTTAGTTCTTCCCTGAATTAGGGGTGTTTTCAAATAGGCACAGGTGGGTGTGAACTGATTCGATTCGAAAATGTGCTGTTTATTTTTAAAACATTTTAAGCATAGTTTTATTTCCTCTTTTATTAAAAAAATATTGTCTATTGGTGGCAGGTGGTCCTGGCTCTCTGTTTAGAAGGATAAAGTGATCAAGTTTCCTTCTGAAAAGAATTTACGTAAGTAAAGCAGGAGAGTCAGTTGAAAGGAAAGTACTTTGATGATTACAATGTGGGTAATGGCAGGGGCTCTGAGTGGCTGATGCACAGGAAACAGTGGTCTGGGGACCGTCCCATACCCTGCTTCTCCGTGAGCTGTTGGGCAGGAGGCTCCTGGAGCCACCGTGTCACTAGTTCCCTCTGGGCTGAGAACCTAGGCTCACCTGAGCAGATGGCGCCAGCGTCCTCATGGTGGCCGCAGTTGTGGGTGAACCAGCCACCGTGCAGGCACTGCCACAGCCTGGCTTCTGTCCCCACGCACTCCACGTCATCCAGGGCCATGGGGCCCACACCTCTCTCAAAATGTGCCTGGCTGAGGGCTGACACAGACCTGCCACAGCCCAGCTGCCTGCACACCACCTGGGCGTCATAGAGGTCCCAGCTGTCATCACACACGGTGCCCCAGCTTCCACTGTAGTGCAGCTCTATGCGGACTTCACACCGGTGGCTGCCATTGGACAGCCTGAGGGCCACATCTGGGGCAGTCAGATACACTCTGTCACCACTCTGGGGGCCATCCCTGTGCCACTATGTCAGAGGGAAACTGGCATTTCCTTTGAGTCTATTCACTTTTGAGGGCTCTACCCTCATGCTCCGGGAGAGAACCTGTGGCTTCAAGCTGCTTGCAAAAGCACTTTGGGTTTACTGTTACAGCACTGTGATTGGAGGGAGGGATATTTTTAAGCTTGTTTGCCATACTAGATTAATTGTTTATTTAGGATCCTTGCAAGCCTCGTGTAAAGTGACCATCACCAAGTATTCAACACTATTGCTGCTCTTAGTGTGGAATAACACTTCTTTTGCACACAGTTTTGAATGAAACAGGCTCCACGATAGTGTAAAACAGTACCCTTTCTCAGCTCTGTGTGCTGTGCCTCTAACATGAGAAGCCACTATTCCAGGGCAGAGCTGGTGTCAGCCAGTTTCACCAACTCAGACCGTGGGAGCGTGGGAAGGTCCTTGCAGGTTAGTAGTGCCCCGCAGATTGAGCCATCCTGCTTTACCATCATTGCCAATCAGTGACTGAAGGACCTACCTGTGTCATTCTCATCTTCCTCCAGGGACTCATAAGATGCTAAGAAACCAGTGTTGGTGATGATTGTGTCACTATGGAACACCACCGTCATTCGGTTTGATGAGGAGGTAAATGTTGGGCTTCCCCTGGAACAGAACCTCCCCATTCATATGGAGCCATAGAAATTTTCTAATCTGTGAAGTGAAATGATATCATTTAAATTTCGCCTATTAGAGCTGAATCCCTTGGTCAGCATTGGCCCAGATTGGCTCAGGAAGAGCTAGGAAAACTATAGGTTAGAAGAGGGGAGAACCCTAACAACACTGGCAAAATGTACCCTCCCGTTTTTAAATATATTTTCATCTTTAAAGTCAATGGTATTTTCTAAATATCTATTATAAGCACAGGGGATAGAATTAGCATGGTATTGATAGTATTTGATGAAAGGTTAGAGAAATTGTTGTCTTGCCCCTGACCTCTTTTCCCTTATTTCACTCTCCTCCCCAGAAGCAGATGGGAAAAACAGTTTCATTTTATTTTCTCCCAGAAAGATTCTAGGTGAAAATGGCAGCATCACTCATGGTTTTCCTGCAGTTCCCTCTATAGCAGCACACACTATACATGGGACAGCAATATATGGATGCAAGAGAGTCTGTTTACCTGATCCCATCCTGATGGATAGGTAGACTGTTTCCACTCTATCGCTAACCCATGAAGGTTGTCATGATGACCCTTAGTGCACATGGGAATTTATCTGTAGACCAAATTCCTGGATTGGAATTGCTGTGTTGAAATATCTGTGAGCTTCATTTTGTGATCAATATCGCAATGAGCCATCAGGACTAGCTCACTCTTGAGAATTAAATTTGGAAGTCTTTTGGGAAGGGTAGAGGAAGGGAAGCAGTAAAACTGGTGAGCATAACTGAGCGAAGA